GTCTCTGGGACCCTTGGGTATGACGATCTGGTATACTCGATTTTCGAGTAGATCCCAGGGCAGCTCAACGCTTAACTACTACAATGCTGTTTGAATTTGTTATGTGTTGTATTCACCGTTGTTTAGGAGCTCGGAGTGCCGAGTCCGGATGCATTGGTTCAAATCTCGCACTGTGGTGGAACAGCAGCAGATTTACTTCGAATGGAAGACATCCTGACCTCAAAACTGGGTGGGGACCTGGACGGTGTCAATGCCTTCGATTTCCTTCGTCTTTTTGCCTCTGCAGCAATAGTTCTACCTGAGGAGAATGTCAGTCCTAGCTTTGGAGGTACTGAAGTGAGTGGAACACCTCCTATGGAGGCTGAAGATCCACAGGGGCAGCCTCTTCTGCCTCCAAATTCGATGCCAGAATCAGGAAGTGTTGAGATCACTACTGCTGCTGCACGAAACCCACAGAGCCGTCGTATGTACGACATCTGGAGTGCCATGACCAGCCGACTCGTGGTAGCCCTCTGCTCCCTTGAGATCTACCGTTTCAGACCTGCCACGGTTGCCTTGGCGGTGCTGCACCACTTCCGTGTGTCAGAGGTCGAAACTTTGGCTAAACTTTGCGATGTAAGTATCTTGAGAGCACTGAACTTTTTGCACGAAGTACTCGCATAGTTTACTACTGAATTGACATTATTTTCCTTGCAGGTCCAGATGAATGACGTGCATCAGTGCTCTACTTTAGTTGAGGAGCTCTACGATGTATTTTATCGCGACTCCCATCCCAGCAGTCGCAGAGCACTCGCTTGGACCTTGTCCAAACGCACTTTTTTTCGTATTGGTTGTTCTAGTCCCACCACGCTGGACACAATCTCAGAGGATTGCGAGTAAGTTGACCTGAGAATAGTTTTGGCTGAATGAATGTTAGGAGGTAGTGGTGTTTCATCCTTATTCTCCTTGTTCTATTGTAGAACTGACAAGGAAGACAATTTGCAATTCATGTTCGAGCCGTAGTGGTAATCATATGTGCCGCCGTTAACAGCTTGTTTGTTCCACCTTCTTTCTGCATTTCTTCCAAAAACTCCAAAAAGACCTGCACGCACACAAATCAGACTTAGCTCTCCTCTTCCGCAACCAATGTTTTTCCTCTCTGTCTCAGGACCACATAAAAGCGGCAAAATGCCCAGAACGACACAGCCTGTTCCCAGTGGCGACAGTCCTTTTTTTGTAGTCGATCTACTGCCACCACACCACCAATCATCATCGAACCAAGTGCTCTTTCATTAACTTCCTCACTTCTTCCCATTTGAACTAAAACGCAGGAACAAATTTAGTAGAACCAGGAACAGCAGGCGAAGGATATGAAGGAGGCCATCGTCTTTGTCGTCCGATTTGACGACTTCCTCCCCTTTCTCTACATGCCTCACCATCCCAGTCCATCTTTTCCTGGCGGTCACCAGTTGTCTTTCTATCTAAATGGAATTTTCCCTTTTACTTCCCCTCACCAACTACTCGACTCCTTAATCTGTGATGATGATGTTGATGGCAGCGCAACGGTAACGTGCGATGTCGCATCTCTCTCTCTCTGGAAGGTTGTTGCATTTACACTCACAGACATTTCCCACTTTTCTTGAAGGGCCGCGGTCTGCTCTCTCGTTCCCGGTGTTTTTACGGCTCCAACCGCCACCATTATCACCATCCACCACTTTCCTTCCCCACTTTGAGCTTTTGTCATTTTATATCAATGTATGCCGAGAGGGAGGGAAACCCCCTTCCCGTGTAGAACGGAGATGATTTATATGTTCCCCGTCCCTCCTTGCCCTTCCTCCTTCGCCGAAACCAGGACCACACAAAGACTTTAATTCATGAACACGCACATGAGCACACACTTGTCCCCATTTCCTTCTATGTATGAGCGTTCCATTGCGTGTGCTTATGTGCGTGCGTGCGTGTGTATGCTGCAAGACCTTGCACGCAGCAACTCAACTTACAACAATAACAACAACGGAGACAAGCCATTGTTGGCGTTGTCAAATAAGCCTAATTTGTTATCAAGCTTCTGGACTTTCCGTTTTTATGTGTCCGTGATTTTGGCTCAAGAGTTTGGGCTGTGAATCTGAGTCCTAACTCCCTAGCCCCGTGTTTTGGACTAGGGCTAAGTAACTAGGAGTTTTCGCTTGCTAATGGCCTTCAGTGGCGCCAATTCCA